GTTTGCAGGTTACAGGGAACACATTTTAAATATGAAGGATGCCTGGAAAAAAAAAAACCACAAACTTGCCTGAAAATTTAACAGAGAACGGGTGGCCATTTGTGTTAAACAAATTTGTATGGCAAATGTCATCTGTCATAAAGAAATGGCAGATGAAAGAAAGAGTCACCTGTGAAGTGTAGTGTAATCAAGCCCAATAAATTTATGACTGATGCAGCAGAGGTGAATTCACAGGAGGTATAAAAATGGAAAAGGAACATGGTAGAAGCTGAGAAGAATCATTGCAATAGATATGTCAACATGAGAACTGCGTTTTTGAAAAACGGAGAAAGGAATATTGATGTAGATGAGAGGAGAGGTGAGCCTAGACAAGAATTTTACCTGAATGGGCAAGTAGGAAAGCTGCATGTGAGGTGTGTTTTGCATTGAATCTTTCAGACATAACTTCAGCGGCAGGATCTACAGCGAGGTCTGAGCTGAGGACAATGTCCTTTGTGTAGTCATGAGTGGCAGGGGGTGGTCTCATAGTGGCTGAAAGGAGGTAGGCATATAGAGCCAGGGTAAAGGTGGGAGAGCTCTCTTAGCTCTGTCAAGATTGAGCTGACAAAAATGTACAAAATGACATTTTTTTTCTTAAGTTAAAATAGCTGTTTGATTAAGGGGTTGCAGGACTGGAACTTAACACAGACTGGGGAAGAGAGGGTATGGAAGGCAGGAGTCTGCTGCCTATGTGTATCTATATGAGCACAGGTACCTTATGTGGGACCTGGCTGCAACAGAAATGCAGAGATCCATCTTACCTAATCCTTGGCTTTAACAACTTCATCCTGTATCAGCAAGTAAGAGAGGCAGCAGGGCCCATCTCTACCTAATCCTAAAAAAAGACACACATTACTTAGCATGAAAATTCACACAGAACTAAAGATATAGATACCCCTAATTCTAATATTTCAATATTGCAATCTTAATATGTATATATTTCTTTAATTCAGAAAGCTCTTCTATTGAAGATACATACTGTTGGTTTTTACTTTTGATGGACTCTTTTACAACATGCATACCGCATAATCAAAAAAAGCCCATAATTAATGGATTGAGGCTGAGCGTGGCCTAAGGAGTGTAAGAAATATCTCCATATCTGATGGGAACATTCCCTAGCAGCATTTGACTGCAGTAGACCTTGTAGCAGTTTGACGGTTTTTATTTCAAAGTCTTATTGTTCAGAGGCTATTGATACTGAATTTCCTCCCTTTGTAATTTAAAACAGCAAGGACATCTGATTCAGTCTTTTTCTCTTTATATTTTACCATATAATACTAGACAAAAGAGCAGAGATCACTGAGAGAGGTGCTTGCTGTAATGGCACCGTTAAAGAGTGAAAGCTGGAACAATTCTCTTCGGAAAGATATTTGAAGAGGTCAGTCTCCCTACTACAGATGGTGATGTTTTGATGGACAAAAAAAGAGTTTGCTGTTTGAATTCAGACAGGTAGGTCATGGCTTTAACTGTCTGCTCACTGACAGGGAAAAAAAAAAAAGATACAGGATTTCATACTATTATTTCTGCATTCACTGTTGACGGAGGAGTTAAAAACATACTTACTCTTGAGTTTATTCCCTAGGTGAGGAAATGTGGTATTATTGTATTTCTTTCTTTGAAAACTCGACAATTTCATCAAACTAGGAATGTTACTTTTAAGGTAATTTATGTAAGCGTGACTGCATCCTGTGCTGACTTGCTATTGTGTAACTCCTTCTAAAATGGTCTTTACAGAATGACAACAAAGATTCTTTTTTCTTAGGGCAAAAGTACAGTCAGAAGATACTATTTTCTCTCTTTCTCCAGCAGTTGAAGAGCAGCACTGAAATGGAGATACAGACACCTATTCTTGCAACAGGCTGTGCACTGAAGGCTCGACCTGAAGAGAACCACTGGGATGCTGAGATAATTGAAAGACCCGACGTGCTTGACATGACCCAATATACTGAAATATTTCTAGGCATTTTTTAGGTATTATGTTAGTGATGGAGCTGCCATGACATTTTCATACTAGATGTATTATTTCAGCTCTTCATAATTTTGCTCTAAAAATGACCTTTTAAGATAATTTTTATGTGTGTATGAGGGTAGTACTTAAAGGTGCTAAACTGACAACACTTACAATCTATTTAATGGGTATAGCAATGTCAGTACAGTGCCCAGCTCTCAGCGGTGTGCCAGTAATACCTCATTTCTTCAACCAAAAAGGCAACTGAACATTTCAACATCCTTGATTATCTGCTGAGACTGGCAAAGGCTTTGCAGAAATAAGGGGATCAGACATTCTCTCTGAAGGCTTCTTTCATTTGGAGCATGAATTCTCCCTTCCCTTCCTCTTATTTGAAATAGTCTGACTCTACTAAAGGAGGACTCCCTTCCCTTCCTCTTATTTGAAATACTAAAGGAGGTTAGCACCTACTAAGGGGGACTTATCTTTGTTTTAATAGCCAGAAACTTCCAAAGGATGATGATCAAAAGATAAACTGGTAGTTCTAGTTAATTTCTATGCTGCATGTTTTATTTACTTCTAATTACTAAATTTGGATGAGTTGTTGGTAAGCCCTATGTTTGTAGTGCCCAGAAGTTTAGGGAAACAGAATGAATTTTAGGTACTCACAGTTATTTTCATTTTATTGATGTGGGTTTTTTTCTTTTGAGGAATGAGGGAAAAATATGCAAGCTGACTACAGAAGATAACAAAGAACATGTGCATGCTATTTTCAGAAATAAAAGTAAGTGTGAATATTCCTTTGGAGGGGGACAAAATGAGAGGAAGAATCAAAAGAAAGATACAGGACAAAAAGAGTAAGACAGAGGGGCTGAGAGGGCTTGAGTCATGGGACAGAGCACAAAGAGGGAAGGAGGAAGAAGCGGTTGGGCTATGTGAGGTGCTGATGAGGAGCCGGGGCAGGCAGCCATTAATTAACTTCTGCCTGATCACCTATTCTTGCCAGAACTGTGTAAGTAGAAACTGGAATAATCCTAGCATTGCAGGCTGCCCCAGAGAGCTGAGGTGAAAGCCAGACCGTCCATACATCTGCTTTGACTTTCAAGTTTAAAGGAATTGTTAAGTTCCTCCACTGCTCTACAGGGAGCTCCTCTCGTCTATGTTATGTGCTGAGAGCCCTCATTCTTCGAAGCTGTTTGTGTCCCTCAGTCTGCCCTTCTATATAAAGCCAAATTTGAGGTCAGTTCTGTTTACTTTTCCTTCCCCTTACATGTGATTTGAGTTGTCCTGCCAATCACCACATACGCGACAAGATCAGGGGCTTGTCCATCGTCAGGCAGGGTGTTCTGCAGAATTTGTCACTGCGCATGTTAGCATGGATCTGCAGAGTCTGAATGAAGGTGTCTGAGCCCTGCTGCTTGTCCTATTAAGACTGAAATTGTGTGTGAAGAGAGAGTAGGATGGGGATGCCAGTTAAAGGCAAAAAAAAAACCCTTAAGAAGTGAAACGCTAAGATAGGCAACTCCTACTGGAGCAGGGAAGGTGATAAGAGTTTTGAAGGAAAGATTAGACTGCATGGGCCTGTAGCATATTTGGGTAGGGCTCGCAAAACCAGATTCAGGAAAGGAGTTCATTTTGCAGTCAGACTACCTATGTAGCCAAAGAATTGGTGGAGGTAATGGGGTGCCAGTGTGAACACATCAACGATGGATGTGATAATGTGCTATAAACAACCTAGGAAATTCAAGCACAGAACGAACACACAATTAATATTTTTCTTTGGAATTTTCTGCCTTTCCAAAATACTAAAAATCTGAAACCCAGAAAATTATTACTGAAAGTATTTCAGATGCATGATTACATCATTCACCAACCAGCCATCTCTATGCTCTATTTAAAAAAAATAGATGACTACTACACCCATAACACACTAATAGTCTTTGCAATAGCAAGAGGAGTTTTGGCTCTGGAAAGGCTTGTGTCGCTGATACTCACAGAGCTGTGCTAAATGTAGCGCAGGCTCTTGTCACAGACCGTGTGCTTGCCAACCTTTATGTTCCCTCCATGCTTCATGGTAGAACTAGTTTGACCCTACCTGCATTTATCCATGGTTAAACACACATCTTCCAATAATGCTCTTACAGTTCTGTTACAAGCTTTCATCTCTAGCACTATTATCATAGAATCATAGAATGGTCAGAGTTGGAAGGCACCCTAAAGATCACCTAGTTCCAACCCCCCTGCCATGGGCAGGGACACCTCCCACTAGACCAGGTTGCTCAAAGCCCCATCCAGCCTGGCCTTGAACACCTCCAGGGATGGGGCATCCACAACTTGTCTGGGCAACCTGTTCCAGTGCCTCAGCACCCTCACGGTAAATAATTTATGCCTAATATCTAATCTGAATCTACCCTCTTTCAGTTTAAAACCGTTACCCCTTATCCCTGATAAAGAGTCCCTCCCCATCTTTCCTGCAGGCCCCCTTTAGGTACTGGAAGGCTGCTATAAGGTCTCCCTGTAGCCTTCTCTTCTCCAGGCTGAACAACTGAACTCTCCCAACCTGTCCTCACAGGGGAGGTACTCCAGCTCTCTGATCATCTTCGTGGCCCTCCACTGGGCCTGCTCCAACAGGTCCATGCCTTTCCTATATTGGAGTCTCCAGAGCTGGATGCAGTACTCCAGGTGGGGGCTCACAAGAGCTGAGTAGAGGGGGAGAATCACCTCCCTCGACTTGCTGGTCATGGTTCTTTTGATGCAGCCCAGGGTATGGTTGGCTTTCAGGGCTGTGAGCACGCATTGACAGCTCATGTTGAGCTCCTCATCCACCAACCACCCCAAGTCCTTTTCCACAGGGCTGCTCTCTCTATTCTCAATCCTCAAGCTCTTTAAGTCATACCAGTATGTCAGCATCAATTCTATAGGATGCCCCCGTTCTTCTAATTACAAAAACAAATTTGGGGGAAAAGCCAAAAAAAAAAAAAAACCCTCAGATTATTCCCTCAGGTTTTTTTACCGCCGGCTGCGGGCCAGGGCTGGGGCTGGCTCCCACCACTGATGCGGCGTCGGCACCCATGTGCGAAAGGCAGTGGCCCCGCAGTGCTGCCCTTGCCTGTCCACCTCTCACCCTTGGGTGTTGTGCTGTCACGTTGGACTCGGGTCATGTGGTCACACAAATACCCCTGGTTGGTTGGGATTTTTTTTATTTTTCTTTTTGGTTTTCTTTTTTTTCCTTTCCCAAATGCAACGTCTTGCTATTTTTCAAGGGTGCAAGAATGAGCTCCACAACGCAACGAAGTCCCCCGGGAACTCAGCTCTTACAACGGGGGTTAAATAAAAGCAGTTTTACGATGCTTCGTTCCCACCCGGGGGGAACAGAGGAAGTGCCAGACCGCATTTTGAGCCGTTTTCCCTAATAAATGTGACCCTGAAGAGACACCCCCTCAGAATGAACGGCTCTGCACTGCCACTTTGTCCGGAGCCCCCCTGACTGCCCGTCCCCCGCCCCGCGCTGCCCGGTCTCCCCCGCGCCCTCGCTCCCCCCGGCGGAGGCGGGACGGGGCCGGCGGGGGGCGGGCGCAACC